GAACAAGTCCTGCTGCTGCTTGGCTCTATCATCTCCATTGTTATGAGATTAACAAAGCAAACAGAGCTGACAAAGGAAGCAGGAAGGAAAATCGATGTATTGGGCCTTTATCAATAATAAGGAAGCTGGAGGTATTTATAAGAAGTGTTTCTCAGAAAGGGCAGCTGCTGCAGTGCTGGGAGGAGCTGAAGAACAGCTTGATAAGAACAGTGTTTGGTTGGTGAGCGAGCTGCATCGCAGCAGCAGGGCTTAAAAAGGGGAAATCCTATCAATGACATAACCATTCAAATGCAGTAATAAGCAAAGGCCTGCAGCGCTGTGCCACAGTACAAACTGACGTCTCTGTGCATTTATCAGATAACTCAACACTAAGTTCTACAAAGGCTGCTTCAAAACACACCTGCTGCATTTCCACAGTTAAGGTCACGACACACTCTGCACTTTCATCTATTGATTTATGATTTATGTCCGTCTTGGGTCGACAGTTTCAACTATTTTGTCCTTTCAGCTGTGATTACGACACACTCTGCACTTCTTAAATGACTTTTTTGGCAGGTATAAAAAAATCATACTTGGAAATGATCTCCACCTCAATCAAGCCCAACAAGAACACACTGCTGTGCAGTATTTCAGACGTGATTAATGACAAAGTCCCACCTTAAATGCTTTCAGTGCATCCCTGCTTGTATTTACATGTTTTTACTTCAATAACATGGTTGGAGTCTGATCTATCAGGACTGTTTCACACAGGGACTGGAGCACTGGACAAAATCTCTTATTCCTTTCAAACAGGTGAAGTCAATACTAGGAAAGAGAAGCACTTCCTGAACATGTTACTGGCATCTAATCCCATAAAGAGCACTGGGAAGTCTGGTGGTAGAAACCACCCACGTGATGCTGCTGAGATTTCCCAGTAATCGTGTGCGTTGTGGCTTTGTTTGTGTTTAAGCTGCAGCTCTTACCATGGAGAGCGCCGTCTGCGTCTGCTGCAGCAGAGGTTCAGGCAGCAGGGAGATGTGCACGCACTCGGGGATGGTAACTGTGCCTCCATCCAGGTCGGCAATGATCACGTCCAGCTGCAAACACACACAC